GGTGGTGGTGGTGGTGGTGGTGGTGGTGGTGGTGGTGGTGGTGGTGGTGGTGGTGGTGGTGGTGGTGGTGGTGGACAAGTGAGTTTCATTGTTTCAGTTTGCTTAGGATGTAGGGCAAATTAGATGACAAAATTCATTCCGGAAGTGAACTGGTTCAAACACTGTTGTGAATTTGAGTGAAGAGTGGGAGGATGATCGATGCTTATATCACACCGGGGTCGTATTCAGAGTGTAGAGTGATAGAAATAAAAGCTGCTTACAATTAGCTTTCCTCTATCTTAACAATCAAAACCTCAAATGTTGTAATAAGGTCTAGAAATGAAGGCATTATTTTTTTCATAGAAGGAATTTGTCGTGTACAGAGCAAATGAAGCGTGAACTGAAAAGCCAGGAAGCTCATTGTCAGCGCTAACCCATCGGCCCAACTGAGGACTGAACCCCGGACCTCACAAGTAGAACGCAAGCATGCCACCCACTCGGCAACTGGACTCATCAGCAACAACGATCTTACGGCCTCAAACATAACCATGGCTTTGGTGACCACAGTAACGAAAATGACGACAAAAGCTGGATAAAAACATTCCATCATCAACGCAATATCGCCTGGGGGAGACTGTGTAGAGTACAGAGATTTATCTGTACCGAATTCATCGGATGTCAAAGCTCGACTCTCCGCGGGGAATCAAATGATACATTGGTTCATTGGTTGCAACATTGAAAAACAGTTCGGCGGCATCCATGCTTATTTTACATTCGAGAATGCTGTCGTTTTGCTAGTAAAATAGAGCATCCAGTCTTCAGTTTTCAATATTGAAGGGTATCCGTGTAAGCCCCGTCAACGTGAGAGAGTGCCCCCGCGTGCGGTCCTCTGTCCGAAAAGGGAAATACTGTTGCAGCCTCAAGCCCATATTACTTCTCAGGAACTTTGTCAGACAGATGAGATTTCCCCTGAGGCACCGATACGCAACTGGGAACAGAACAGTAGCCTGTGGACGACTTTCATAGCTAGTCCCGCGTAGTCCAACAGTCTAGTGGAAGCAAGTTGTACACGCTCCAACTTATCCAGTTCACTGACCGTGCTGGGGTATGTTGCGGCACCACTATACTCAAGTCTTGGTCTGACATGGGAAGCGTACAGCAGCCTGAAAGCGTCCATAGTGAGCCAGTTGAAAGATCGTCAAACAGGCCCCAGAATGCTCCACGCGCCGGCACAGACTCGATCGGTGTTTTCTCGGGTCTTTAGTGATAACGTAACCATAACTCCCAGATCTCTTTCGCATGATGTTCTGCACAATTTGATTCCCTGGAGGTTGTAGACCACCTCTGAGTCAGCACGCTAAAAATGCAGGTGAGCACACTCTGCGGTATCGACTGGAAGATTCCAGGTGTCCGCCCACTGAGCCAGGTTGTTCAAATCCACTTAAAGAGAATTTTAATCATTCGCAGCCTCGACTGTAGGCCAGATTTTGATGTCATTCGCATACATGAGGGATAGGCTGCACAGTTGACGGAGCAGGTCGTTCACACATACCACAACGAGCAATGGACCCCACTGGGAGCGGAATACCACGCAGATAGCGACTTTCCAACACGAAATTTCTGGTTGATGAGGAAGTCTCGCAGCCAATTCAGCATGACCACGCCTACACCCAGACTGGACAGCTTCCGCAGAAGGCGGTTGTAAGGCAGATTGTCGAAGGCCTTGCTGAAGTCCACGAAGATGATGTCCGTTTCGTGTCCTGTGGCCTTGTCCTCGGTCCAGTAGCAGGTTTGAGAGGCATGGGCAACTCGACCGGAAACCGTGTTGTTGGTGGTACAGGTGACCGTGGCACACCAAATGCTTCCGAAGCCGTGCAGCCACCAGTCGCTTCATTACTTTACCCACAACACTAGTACGCTGACTGGTCGGTAGTTTCCGGGGTCACTAATATTCCCACTTTGGGTAGAGGAACAATGACAGCGTCCTTCCACTGCCGCAGTAAACGCCTTTGTGTGAATGAGAAATGGAACAGGTTGCACAGTGGCACTGCAAGTTCATCTGCCAACTTCCCCAGGATAAGGTGACTGGTGAACCTTTGGCCGCCGCAGCTCCAGAGCCACCTCTTCAATGGTAAATGGAGTCCGGTTAAGGGCAGTGTCGTGCCCAGTGGACGTGCCAATGTGCTGGAGTCTGGGGTGTACACTGAGGCATAATGTGATGCCACCACCTGTGCTTTGTCCTTATCTTTTCCGGCTGGTGCCCCGTCTTTGGCGAGAGTCGGGGGACCAGGCGTTACTGTGATTCTTCGCCTGAGGTAGGCATACAATAGCTTTGATACCTGTACAGAATCAGCTGAGAGTCGTTCCTCGAATCTGGTTCTCTTGCATCTTTTCACTGCAGTACAATGATTCCGAATACCTGTTGCACGGTACCTGGACCAGGCTTTATTCCGCTGCAGGAGGCACGCCCGCTGCTCTCAGTCAAACCACGGCGGACCCATAGCGTGTGTTCGATGGCGGTGGGTGGAGAGAATTCCAGTACGAGGTGATGGATTTCGGGATGAACCAACTCCCAGGATTCATCCAAATCCTCAGGGTTTAGGGAATCCCAATTTATGAGTGATGCAGCCTGACGCATTTCCGGAAAGGATGGGCGATACACATTTCGTCCGTCCTGTGGTCTGTCAGTTTGGGGTACGCCACGCCACCAGTATATACGCAGAACGGAGTGATCACTAGATGCAATCGGTGGAAGGACGTCAATCCTAGTCGTATTCTATTGTGTATAACTTTTGCAAGCACTTGAGCTCACATTTCAGTTAAAAAATCATACACAGTAACCGTCTTAATGTACATGACAAACTAGGAAAAAATTTTGTACAGATATGAGGATATTTCATAACCCAAGGTCAAGAAAAAGTTTACTTATTGTTCGCTGTCTGTTTTTGAGTACAAGAGCAAGATACGGTATAGCTAAATTGCGGTAAGCGTTAATTCGAGATGAAATTTGGCGAAATTGGGAGCGTGTTGACTGATGGGAACGACAACGTGTCAGTTCTGGGTGTAATGGGTGGTCAGGTCAGCAAATTTCACACAGGAATTTACATGATACTCTGAAAGCTTTAAAACTAACTCATTCACAGGAATAGAAGAGACACGACTAATAATGGTTAGACCGCGGCGTAAAACTTTAAAAGCGTGTTTGAATAAGTCGGGAAAAATGACTGGGGAACAGTGGAGTAAGATGGGAAAAACACACGGATAAACAAAGGTAGAAATAATTGACTGGGATACAAGAAATTGCCTGATGTTTTCAAATTTGAAATGATAGGCAACGCAGTTTACCAATGCAGTCGTGGATGTGGGTTGACCAATGAAGATTGCTATCTATGGTTACACTGAGGTATTCAACAGAGTTCACCCTGGATAAAGGATTGTTATTAATCACAGTGGGGTCTGCCGCATATGGAGAGCGAGCAAAACTACATAAACACTTAACACATTTACTGGGGTTTAGGGTCAGCCCCGAAAAAAAGAATGATTGAATTTGAAAAAGATTATCGGTGAACGAGCTTTGT